AAGGAAGAGCTAGGCTCTGACTCATGTGCCATGGCAGGGAGGGGAGCTCCTCGCTGGGGCTGGCGCATCTGCCACCGCCAGCACTTCGCACACAGCCCGCCAAGTCTCACAGCCCTGGGGGGAGGGGGAGCAGAGCAGCTGGGGAAACTGAGGCGCAGAAGGGGTTTTTTTTGGGGGGGGGGTGGGGGACACAGTGAGAACGCCCTAGGGTCCTGACTCCCAGTTCCCCATGCTCCAACCCCTAAGCCACACTGCCTCTTCCTGGCTACACGGGCCAGCAGCTCTGTCTCAAGAAGCCAAAGGGGCGTTGTGACAGCACATCACAGCTGCTCGGCAGAGCCAACGGGGGACTGTGCAGATTGGCACGGGGGCATCAGGGAATGGCATGGGGATGAAGTAAGAATTTCCTCTAATAGTTTTAGGAATTACTTGGACTTTCAGAAAGCCTTTGACAAGGTCCCTCACCAAAGGCTCTTAAGGTAACTAAGGAGCCATGGGGTAAGAGGGAAGGTCCTCTCCTGGATCAGTAACTGGAGAGAGGTAAATAGCAGGTCCCAGGGGTCTGTACCGGGACCAGTGTGTTCAACATAGTCCCCAGTGAGCTGGAATAGGGGGTGAACAGTGAGGTGGCAAAGTTTGCAGATGATACAAAATTGTTTAAGATAGTTAAGTCCACAGCTGAGTGCAAGGAGTTGGAGTCACAAAACTGCGTGGCTGGGCAACCAAATGGCAAAGAAATGCACATTGGAAACATAATCCCAACCATACACATACAGTGATGGTAACACCCAGGAAAGAGATCTGGGGGTCACTGTGGATAGTTCTCTGAAAATTTCAGCTCGATGTGCAGCAGCCGTCAAAAAGGCTAAGAATACTTTAGGAACTATTAGGAAAGGGATAGCTAAGAAGACAGACAATATCCTAATGCCACTATATAAATCCATGGGACGCCCACCCCTTGAATACTGCACACAGACCTGGTCACCCCATCTCAAAAACAATAGAGTGGAACTGGAAAAGGTTCAGAGAAGGGCAGCAAAGATGATCAGGGGTATGAAACAGCTTCCGTACAAGGTGAGACGCTAAACATTAGAGTGTTCAGCTTGGAAAGAGACGACTAAGGGGGGATAGGATAGAGGTCTATAAAACCATGACTGGGGTGGAGAAAGTGAATAGCGAAGTGTTATTTACCCGTCACATAACACACAAACTAGGAATCACCCAATGAAATTGACAGGCAGCAGGTTTAAAACAAACAAAAGGAAGTATTTCTTCACACAACGCACAGTCAACCTGTGGAACTCCTTGCCAGGGGATGTTGTGAAGGCCAAGATTATAATGGGGTTCAAAAAAGAACTAGATACATTTGTGGAGGACAGGTCCATCAGTGGCTATTAGCCAGGCTGGGCAGGGACGGTGTCCCTAGCCTCTGTTTGCCAGGAGCCGGGAATGGGCGACAGGGGATGCATCACTTGATGATGACCTGTTCTGTTCATTCCCTCTGGGGCACCTGGCATTGGCCACTGTTGGCAGACCGGACACTGGGCTAGATGGACCTTTGATCTGACCCAGCCTGGCCGTTCTTATGTGATAGCACCCTGTTTTCCCCCTTCCCCCCCAGCAGCTAACTGCCACACGATCTCATGGACAGAAATGGCCTTCCTGATTCCCTGCAGCTGCTCTGGCCTGGAGCATGAGCATGGGGGAGCCCTTTGCTTCTCCTTCCAGCCAGGGTCACTGCAGGCTCTTTCTCTAGAGGCCCATTAGCAGCTGCCCTGGAGGGCTCGGGCCATCTCTGCTGGGCTGTAGGGACCTGCAGTTCTCCCCCAGCTGCAGTGACGGGCCACCAGGCCATGCCGCCTGTCATGATGAATTGCTTTAACCCATAGCTCCGCCCATAATTGTAACTCCACCCCCTCTCCCCAGTCTGGGCCTGGGATGCCCTCAGTGTGGATGGTAATCCCATGGGGCCGAGTGGGATGCAACCCCCTGGAAAGAGGAGACAGACTGGACAGGGTACTGTTGGGAATAACGGCAGGGAATTCAAACACAGGGAAAAGGGCAGGCCCATGGGTAGGGCCCTACCAAATTCACAGCCATGAAAAACACGTCCTGGGCCGTGACATAGGTTTTTTTATCTGCTTTTACCCGATACTGTACAGATTTCACAGGTTTCAGAGTAGCAGCCGTGTTAGTCTGTATCCACAAAAACAACAGGAGTACTTGGGGCACCTTAGAGACTGACAAAGTCTCTAAGGTGCCCCAAGTACTCCTGTTGTTTTTGTGGATACAGAC